TTTGATTAGTCACATTGATTGACCATAGTTACTTAAAGTTACTCTATCAATTTTACATTAAAAGATTGTTTTTATTATTAATACTTTACTGCATTAGAGTCTTGTTTTCATTCATTTTGAATAAATTAACTAATTTGCAGATTGAGTAACTCTTCTTTGATTCGCCAACTAATAACATTCATATCACCTTCACCTTCACCTTCACCTTCATCATGCACATAATTATAAATATCTCGCATTAAAGGTTATCATTGACCAATGATTCAATGCCAATAAGAACCGAAAATGTAGTTGAATATTGTGATCCGTATTCTGACTTTACAAAAATCAATTTTCAAAATCATTAAACCATGAAATAGTTTATAAAAATGTAAATTATAATACAGCCGTGAATTGAAAGTTGAATCCACTTTTTAAATCAATTGCGCAGGTAATCAGCTATTGGTTTAATTATCTAAATTAGATATTTTGGCTCAAAATGTATGGGTTAACAGTTTGTAATCAGCAATTGATTAAGTTAATCATAGATATGATAATAAAATGCGCAAATTACTCAAAAAGTGGATTCAACTTTCGATTCATGGCTGTATTTCCACTCTTTTCACCAGCCCCAGAATGGTGGCTGAGTGTATTATATTAAGCACTATTGCCTGATTAGACTTACAAAAGATAAAGCTTTCGGCCTTCTTCTCTATTAAAAAAATTGTATTTTCAAGATAACAAATGGTTAGCAAAATTGAGACTTAATTTTTAGATTAAACCAATTGTTATCTTGGTTATTGTTTTTTTAATAGAGAGCAATGCATATTGATTTAAAATGAATATTGACATTGCTAATTGATTCTATAACCAAAAAGGGGCTGGTTTTTTTGCGTAAGCTAAAATTGACCTTCGCTGGTCAATTCAATGATGAGTTTTCGAGATGAGTTTATTAACACAATTCAACATAAAATATATTTAGTCAACAATAAAACTATTTTGAATCATTAGGCATTCAGATTTTCAACAAAGCAATGGATTTCATTGCAGTCAAACGTAAAATTTTGTAAAATTTATCGATGTTTAGTCTGGTTGTACGAAGTTGATCGAAATTGCCAATCATGGTCTGCTAAAATCAGGAGTTCCAGCGTATACTTTGTCCTCAATATTGCATTCATTGATTCCTCTGCGTATTTTGAAGTATCCTGTAAATTAAATCCATAGTATGTTAATCATTGAGTCGTAATTTGAATGATTCTTCACCAATGTATACAACGAAGATAAGGCATATTTTTAAATGTATATTTTCCTTTCCCTTTCATTTGTATTCACTCAGAGATTAATGAATAAACTCACCTTGATCACCCCAATATGTATTCCAAGAATTAGCGACAAGCCAGTAGTCAACGCCATCCTCAACGCCCCAGCCAAGAATGCGAATGGCATGTTCGAGTATGCTTACACGACTGTGATGTTGATAAACGCCTGAATTGGAAAGATGATTTCATTAATTCAGATTCAGAACAGAAATGAAGAGTGAAGTTATTCAACTCTGAAAGTCCTGAAGTTATCCATAATTACTTGAATATTATAATGAAAATGAATGGACAAACCTGATGAATAGCTGGGGAAGTCACTGTAAACTATGAATGTTGCTGTAAAAAAAGGAAAGTAAAATATTAAGATAACATAAACTGAAACACTTAAAATTTGAAACTGGGTTTATTAAGAGTCCAGGATAGGAGTTGAATTGACTCACCTTCTACAGGTCCATTGGTCATTATTTCAGTTTGAATCTTTTCAACTCTTCGAGCTCCTCCAATATTACGAATATTCTTGCCGTAATATTTATCATCTTCATAAGACTTGTTATAATCTGGTTGACATTTTCCTACACACACTGGCTTTTCGGGAATCACACTAGAACAATTAGAAAGAGTAAGGCCTGCCGTGTTATGTTCACAAGGTGCATATTTATATGGTTTACATCCAGCCCCTGCGAATGCGCCACCAGTAACTATTCCGTTGAACTCCCAGTAGTCCCAAGCACGAGCAACTCGCCCACTGCTGCATTCCCTTCCACAATATGAGCAGCAAGAGAGCAAATCTTCAGCAGACAATTCAACTTGAAGATTGCCACCAGATGCAATACAAATACGGTCAGACATGGCTTCAACAGCACCAAAAGCCCAACAAGAACCGCATACACCCTGATCTCGAATGTTTGAGATGGATGTACAGTTTGCCCATGCTTTACGAGCGTCAAAACTTTCGGGAATATCTTCAGCAATCTGGATATCTGCTTCGGGTAAAGAAATATCATCAGGAGCAACTCCTAGGAGTCCTTTGACATAGTCGAAAGAAACGCCAACAAAGTTCCTTTTAGCCTTTCATGTTTAGCAAGAGAAAAAGAGAATTAGATTTTGAAAAAATTTAATACAAGCAATAGGAGATTCAAGTATTAAAATTACGAATTACCTTCCATGTAGTATTCAAAGAGTTTATGGCATTAACCATTTCATCAGACAATGGGTCGATTCCTGGATCAAGGAAAACACGTTCAACTGCCTTCAACTCAGCTAAATTACTTGAAAGTAAAATTAAAAATAACACTTTAATCATGATGAAGTTTGAACTTAAATAAAACACTGTTGAATTGACAATTTAAGAAGAACCAGAGTAACGGATCTAAAATTAAAAAGGGTACAGAGTGGAGCTTAGGAGTGAAATGTGAATTAAAAAGGTGACTTTTACTGTGTGAGAGTCAACTCTAAAAAGTTACTTTTTGTCTTTGTTTTTATACTTTTGTCTTACATGTCTTTTGTATCTCAATGGTACACACTAAATGACCAATAGCTTTAGTCTTCATTGAGCTATTGGATGATAAATTTGATTTCCCTTCTTTAATAGCTGTTCCCCTACAATGAGATGAATAAAATTTTGAGAGTCAAATAGCTGATGAAAAGACTTCGCTAAAAGGTTAGATTGCTACTTAGCACCATTGAACACCTTTACATCTTGTTTTTCTTGATTCTTCATTTATTTGAATAAAATTAACTATCTTTGACGATTTAATGCATCAACATAAAAATCTTGTAAACTTATTCAGAAACGGTTGAAAAAAAATTTTGATTGATTTGACGGTTGATTTTTGCTATAAATTATGGAAGATTAAGCATGAAAATAAAAAAAACTGTTTCATTTCAATATGACGACAAAGAAAAGAACCAGAAAAATCTTCAGTACAATATGTTACAATAAACGTATATCTTTATTGGAAAATAATTGTACCGAATTGTTTGAATTGTCTTTAGTGGCTCAAAAGATACTTAAATACTGAATGAAAAACTTGCGTTCATTAATATCGCACTTGATTTACCATCTGCTCAACCTTAATCTTGTGTTGTTTCAATTGAAAGTTTAATATTGATAGTTTAAACAGTTAAAGGGAAAAATATCTTATGAGCCTTTTCGATGATTATTAGACAAAGATGCACCGAATTGTCTTAAATGTAGAATCGAAGATGATTAAATTAATGATTTAATAATTTCATTTTCAGTAAAATACAGGTGAAAATAAATATCACAACAATAAGACTTCAACTGTAATATGAAACTGACATTGACTGAAAATAATAACCAAGTCGCTCCAGTTACCAACAGTTCAATCAGCATTGATGCGGCTACTATCGATAAGAATGTCCCAATTACTCTTGGCTTTAACGATATCAAGGCTGTTGTTGCTCCAAACCTCAAAGAATTGGCTAGTTGTTGGAAATAAAATGTCCCTTAACAATGATAATACTTGTATTGCATATTGTAAATCAATGAATAGCAATTAAAATAAAACTTTTACTTTGAAGCAAAATAATATTTGATCAATTACATTTTCTATAAAATTACACAAATCAATAATATCCTTTTTGATTAATGCTCGCATTAGATCTGAATGATAAGACTTTATTCCAAAGATAATCATTCGCGCATAATTTTACATTAATAGATATACTAGTTTTTCACTTTACAACATTGAAGTCTTCTTTGCCTTATCTTTTTCATTCATTCTGAATAAAATTAACTAGATATGCAGATAGATTAACCCTTTAAAATTCCGTTTCCCAACTGATATTAATACTAATAACATTCACCATTCAACATCACCTTCACCTGCATAATAATCATTTTTATAAATCGCTCGCATTAAAGGTTATCATTGGCCAATGACTTAAAGTTAATAAGAAACGTAAATGTAAGTGAATAATGTAAATAATATTATATTTCCATTCATTGTTCAATGATAAGTTTTCAAGATGAGTTTATTTGTAAAATTCAACATAAAATATATTTAGATCAATAAAACTATTTTGAGTCATTGAGCATTTAGATAACAACAAAGCAATGAGATTAATTGCAGTCAAACGTAAAATAATGTAAAATCGATGTTTAGTCAAGTTTTTCGAGTTGATTAAAGCTTTCATTTATCTGCTAAAATCAGGAGTTCCAGCGTATACTTTGTCCTCAATATTACATTCATCGGTTCCTCTGCGAATTTTGAAGTATCCTGTAAATTAAATTCATAGTATGTTAATCATTGAGTCGTAATTTGAATGAATTTCTCATTAATGTGTATAACGAAGAGACATTTTAATTTATCTGAACCTTTCTTTTTCTGTTTGTATTCACTCAGAAATTAATGAATAACTCACCTTGATCACCCCAATATGTATTCCAGGAATTAGCAGCAAGCCAATAGTCAACGCCATTCTCAACCCCCCAACCAATAATGCGAACTGCATGTTCTATTTCTTCTTTTCCATAAACGGGTTCGTAAACACCTGAATTGCGAAACATAATTGAATTAACACAGATGAAAACAGAAATGGACGGATTTTAAAAAGATTAGACACAATTTCTGATCTAAACGCTTTCCAGCAGCTGAGCTGGAGTAACGCTGCTTAAACTACCTACAAATACGTGAAAATATGAATACAAATGCATGAGATTCAAGATAATAGATTCATGCTATCTGTTTAACGTAAAAAAATTTCAATAAAAATTGATTGATTAATTCAATTTTTGATCGAGCCTTGTTGCTTCCAATCTTTTCATGGTGGGGAAGAAGAATGACTTTAAATGGACAAACCTTCTGAATAGCTGAAGAAGTCGCTGTAAGGGATGAATGATGCTGTAAAAAAAGGAAAGTAAGAATGTTGAGATAACATAACTGAAACACTTACAATTTAAGACTGGGTATCAAGAGTCGAGGATAGGAGTTGATTTCACTCACCTTCTACGGGTCCATTGGTCATTATTTCAGTTTGAATCTTTGCAACTCTATGAACTCCATTGTCATATTTTCCAATGTGGCCACATTTCTTGCCGTAATATTTATCATTTTCATAAGACTCGGAATATTTTGGTTGACATTTTTCTTCACACTTTGGCTCTTCGGGTTTCAAATTAGCACAATGAGGAAGAGCAAGGCCTGCAGCGGTATGGTTACAAGGTGCATATTTATATGGCTTACATCCACTGGTAACAATTCCATAATCGTTCCAATAATTCCAAGCAAAAACAGCTGACCCACCATCGCAACCATTTGCAGGCACTAACATTCTTGGCGCGCAAGCGAGTACATCTTCAGCAGACAATTCAACTTGCAGCTCTCCACCAGATGCAATACAAATACGATCAGACATAGCTGCTGCAGCATTAAAAGCCCAACAAGAACCACATGCACCCTGATCTCGAATGTTTGAGATGGATGAACAGTATGGCCATTGTTCACGAGCGTCAAATCTTTCGGGAATATCTTCAGCAATCTGGATATCTGCTTCGGGTAAAGAAATATTATCATCAGAAATAACTCCCAGGAGTCCTCTAACATAGTCCAATGAAACTCCAACAAAGTTTCTCTTAGCCTGTCATGTAAAGAAAAAAAAAGAACAAGAAAATTAGACTTTGATTAGTATAGTTAAATAACTATGAAACATTTGACACAAACAACAGATGATTGAGGTATTAAAATTACGAATTACCTTCCATGTAGTATTCAAAGAGTTTATGGCATTAACCATTTCATCAGACAATGGGTCAATTCCTGGATCAAGGAATACACGTTCAACTGCCTTCAACTCAGCTAAATTACTTGAAAGTAAAATTAAAAATAACACTTTAATCATGATGAAGTTTGAAACTTGAATAAAAAACTAATGAATTTAAGAGGAACCAGAGTAACTAAAATTAAAAAAGGTGCTGAGTTGAGCACAGGGGTTAAAAGGATGACTTTGGTTGTGTGAGAGTAACTCTAAAATAACAATTTCCTGTCTTTGTTTTTATACTTTTGTCTTATCTCAATGAGACTCACTAAATGACCAATGGTTCTAGTCTCATTGAGCTATTGGCTGATAAATTTGATGTCCCTTCTTTAATAGCTGTTCCCCTACAATGAGATGAATAAAATTTTGAGAGTCAAATAGCTGATGAAAAGACTTCGCTAAAAGGTTAGATTGCTACTTAGCACCATTGAACACCTTTACATCTTGTTTTTCTGAATTCTTCCTTTATTTGAATAAAATTAACTATCTTTGACGATTTAATGCATCAACATAAAAATCTTGTAAACTTATTCAGAAACGGTTGAAAAAAAATTTTGATTGATTTGACGGTTGATTTTTGCTATAAATTATGGAAGATTAAGCATGAAAATAAAAAAAACTGTTTCATTTCAATTTGACGACAAAGAAGATACCAGAAAAATCTTCAGTACAATATGTTACAATAAACATATATCTTCGTGAATTGTTGGGCATAAATTGTACCGAATTGTTTGACTTGTCTTTAGTGGTACAAAAGATACCAAAGAAAATTAAGGACTGAATGAAAAACTTGGGTTCATTAATATCGTACTCAATTTTACATCTGCTCAACCTTAATCTTGTGTTGTTTCAATTGGAAGTTTAGTAAACAGTTAAAGGGAAAAATATTTCATGATCCTTTTCGATGATTATTAGACAAAAGATGCACCGAATTGTCTTAAATGTAGAAGCGAAGATGATTAAATTAATGATTTAATAATTTCATTTTCAGTAAAATACAGCTGAAAATAAGTGACTAAATAATCATGACATTAACTGACAAAATTTAATAGACACTGACATTGATATCCAGTTCAAGTTATTTTAAATTGTCAATGATCAGCGGGATGGCCAGTTGGTGATCTGATATTCAACATATAAATAGAGATTATTTGGTCTCGAATTTTATCAGAATCAATTGTGACTTCAAATTAGTAACTAACAATTGATTATAAACTGAACTAAGTGAAAATGTTGTTCTTCGCTGCAATTCTCTTATCTCTTGTTCAATTCGCTTTCCTTGCCTACAATCCAAATGACCCTTGCTTTTATGGTGTAACTTATTGTCTTAGTCGTGATGGTTCAACCGAATGTACTGGTAATAACGTTGCTAAGATTTCATTGAGCGCTGGCCAAAATGATAAATCTAAACATTTAAGTGTCTCTATCTTAGCCTACCACTCGAAAGGATCAGAACGAGTTACCTTATCACTTGGTTTCAATGTTAAAGGTAAACCTTACACTCTTTACTGTTTATCTGATGGTGCTGATACCTTCAAGCCTGGTAAGGGCAGTTGGGCCACTCAAGACTTCAACTGTAATATGAAACTGACATTGACTGCAAATAGTAACCAAGTCGCTCCAGTTACCAACAAGTCAATCAGCATTGATGCGGCTACTATCGATAAGAATGTCCCAATTACTCTTGGCTTTAACGATATCAAGGCTGTTGTTGCTCCAAACCTCAAAGAATTGTCTAAGTGTTGGGAATAAACCATCGCTTAACAATGATAATAATTGTATTGTATATTGTAATTCAATGAATAGCAATTAAAATAAAACTTTTACTTTTAAGCAAAATATAATAATGTGCGATAATTTACATTTCCTTAAAAATTGACCTGAATTTTTCACAATCGATTGGGATACATGCAAACCAGAAAATATAATAAATAGATGTGCTGATAGATAAATATTAATAACAAATGAGTGACTCGATAAAGTAAATGTCAAGTAATTGACATTGAATTAATGATATGAAATTTCGTTGACATTTAATATGATCTGTAAGATTGATAACTCTATTTTCAACACTGCATAAATTGCTCGCGCTGTAATTTATCATTGACCACTAATTTAATTTGTCAATAAGAGCCAAAAATGTATGTAAATAATGTGATCAATAACACGTATTCACAAAAAATTAATTTTTAAAATCGTTAAACCATGAAATAATTTGTAAAAATGTAAATGAATATTTCCATTCATTATTCATTGATAAGTTTTCAAGATGAGTTTATTAATACAATTCAACATAAAATATATTTACATCAACAATAAAGCTATCGAGTCATTAGGCATTTAGATAACAAAGCAATGGAATTCAAACGTAAAATTTTGTCCATGTTTAGTCAAGTTGTCCCTTTTGATACAAGTTTTCAGTTATCTGGTAAAATAGGAGTTCCAAAATATATTTTGGTTTCGATATTACATTCATCTTCTCCTCTGAGAATTTTGAAGTATCCTGTAAATTAAATCCATGATATGTTAATCGTTGAATCGTAATTTTATAATTTCTCACCAACAAACGAAGAGACATTTATAATTTTGTGTCTTTATCTTCCTTCTGTTCCTCAATCAACTCTGAGATTAATGAATAACTTACCTTGATCACCCCAATATGTATTCCAGGAGTTAGCAACAAGCCAGTAGTCAACGCCATTCTCAACTCCCCAACCAATAATGCGAACTGCATGTTCCCCCTGATAAACGTTAGACTTTTGTTGGTAAACACCTGAATTGGAAAAAGTAATTTAAATAATCCAGATGAAAACAGAAATGGAATAAAGCTATCAAAGATCAGACGGAAAAAGACACATAAAATTTCAGATTTAGCTTTAGCTTAGCTTTTAGCTGATGATTAAAAAAACTAAGCTAAAGTAGCACTGGCACCGAAGCCTACAATTACGTGAACATAGGAGTATTAACGTTAATGTATGAGAGAATTAAAAAAATCTGCAAAAATCAGCCAACAAAGAGTAGATTGTCTGATGAGTAGATTGAAAAGCATCCATTTTCGACGTGTGCAATGTATCAACTATACAACTTTGCTAACTTCTTAAGGTAAGAAATCGGAATCAAAAATGATTGATTAAATTCCATTTTTTAATCTCACTTTCAATCTCTTCATAGCGTGGAAAGAAAGAAATATGTCAGTCAATGGACAAACCTGATGAATAGCAGAAGAAGTCGCTGTAAACTGAGAATGATGCTGTAAAAAAGGAAAGTAAAATGTTAAGATAACAGCAATTTGAGCATTTACAATTCAAGACTGGGTTTATTAAGAGTCAAGGATAGGAGTTGAATTGACTCACCTTCTACGGGTCCATTGGTCATTACTTCAGTCTGAATATTTTCCGCTCTTCGAGATCCAAAGATAGGCTTACCTTTCTTGCCGTAATATTTATCTTTTTCATAATCCTCACGATAGTTTGGTTGGCATTTTTTTTCACAAATTGGCTTTTCAGCTTTACTTTCATTGCAATAAGAAATAGTAAAGCATTCCCCTTTAGGGCATGTCGAGTTATGTTTACAAGGTTCATATTTATATGGTTTGCATCCAGCTCCTTCGAATGCGCCACCAGTAACAATTCCGTAATCCTCCCAATAGTCCCAAGCCCTAGAAGCATACCCAGCTTTGCAATCATCTCTACAATCGGAGCAGCAAGCGAGCAAATCTTCGGCAGACAGTTCAACTTGATGATGGCCTTCAGATGCAATACAAATACGATCAGACATGGCTCCAACAGCAGCAACAGCCCAACAAGAACCACATGAACCCTGATCTCGAATGTTGGAGATGGATGAACAGTATGGCCATGCTTCACGAGCGTCAAATCTTTCGGGAATATGTTCGGCAATCTGGATCTGGTTATCTGCTTCGGGTAAAGAAACATCATCATCAGGAGCGACACCTAAGAGTCCTTTAACATAGTCGAAAGAAACTCCAACAAAGTTTCTTTTAGCCTGTCATGTTTAGCAAGTGAACAACAAAATAAGGTATTGATTAGTAAAGTTGAAGTTAAATAACGATGAAACATTTGATACAAACAACAGGAGATTCAGGTATTAAAGTATTTTCTAATAAGCATATTAATTGGAATAAACAAAGTATATTTTCATTAAAACAAATTACCTTCCATGTAGTATTCAAAGAGTTTATGGCATTAACCATTTCATCGGACAATGGGTCAATTCCTGGATCAAGGAAAACACGTTCAACTGCCTTCAACTCAGCTAAATTACTTGAAAGTAAAATTAGCAATAACACTTCAATCATGATGAAGTCGGAAACTTAAATAAAACACTGTTGAATTGAAAATTTAAGAGGTACCAGAGTAACGGGTTTTCAGCCTAAAATTAAAACTTAAAAAGGGTGCTGAGTGGGTTAAAGGGGTGAAATGAGGATTAAAAGGATGACTTTTACAAAGTGAGAGCCAACTCTAAAATGTCACTTTTTTGTCTTTGTTTTTATATTTTTGTCTTATCTCAATGGTACACACTAAATGACCAATGGTTCTAGTCTTAATTTAGCTATTGGCTTATGAACTTAATTGCGTATTTTAATGAATTCCCTTCTTTAGTAGCTGTCCCCTTACAATGAGATGTAATGTTTTAAGATTTTGCTAGTTTTATTGGATCCAACAACTAATGAAAAGATTTCGCTAAAAGTAAAGATCTCTACTTTGACCACCTTTACGTCTTTTTTACTTTAATACTTCATTTTTTAGTAAAATTAACTATCTTTGCAAATTAATTAATCCATGAATAATCAATAAAATCTTGTCCAGTCCTTAATTTCACGAATAATAGCATAAACATTATTTATTTGGTAGTGTAAATAACATAGTTCCATGATAATTATCAAAATTTAAAAATTTTTATCCAAAGTTTTCCGTTGTTGTGATTATATTTACAGCTAAATCTTTGGAAGTCCAGCATTTACTTTACTTTCAATTCCACATTCGTTGGTTCCTCTGCGAATTTTGAAATAACCTTGATCACCCCAATCTGTATTCCAGGAATTAGCAACGAGCCAGTAATCAATGCCATCTTCAACTCCCCAACCAAGAATGCGAATAGCATGGCCACCCAGTTGATCATGAGAGTGTCGTTGGTAAACACCTGATGAATAAGATAGGAAGTCAGAATAAACAGTGAATGCTCCTTCTACAGGTCCATTGGTCATTATTTCAGTTTGAATCTTTTTAACACTTCCAACACTGTAAGACTTCAATCCATAATATTTATCTTCTTGATAAGACTTAGGATAACCTGGTTGGCATTTTTTTTCACACTTTGGAGTTTTTTCAAGTTTACATTCAGGTCTAGGGCCTGGTATGTGATGCTCACAAGGTGGGAATTTATATGGTTGACATCCTTCTCCTCCGTATAGCCCTCCAGTAACAATACCGAAATGAACCCAATGGAACCAAGCCATGCCGGGAAACCCACCACTGCAACCAAATCCACATAAATGACAGCAAGTGAGCAAATCTTCAGCAGACAATTCAACTTGCAGCTCTCCACCAGATGCAATACAAATACGATCAGACATAGCTTCAACAGCACCAAAAGCCCAACAAGAACCACATGATGCTTGATCCCGAATGAATGAGATGGATGAACAATTTGACCATGCCTCACGAGAATCAAAGCTTTCCGGAATATCTGCAGCAACCTCGAAATCTTCCTCCAGTAAAGGAACGATGTTATCATCAGAAGGATGAACGCCCAAGAGTCCTTTAACATAGTCAACATGAACTCCAACAAAGTTTCTTTTGGCCTGTCATGTAAAGAAAAAGAAAATTAATAAAAGGTTAGAATTCATAAATTATATAACAATAACAAACAACAAGAATTTAAGGATAAAAATTGGTTAAAATGGGTTAATATAAAAGCATAATTGGAATAGAAAAAATATGATTTCATGAAAACGAATTACCTTCCATGTAGTATTTAAAGAGTTTATGGCATTAACCATTTCATCGGACAATGGATCGATTCCTGAATTAAGGAAAACATGTTCAGCTCCATTTAACTGAGCTAAATTACTTAAAAATAAAATTAGAAATAACAGTTTAATCATAATGACGAAAGAAGTTGTGTTTAAAGGTTTAGTAAAAAAACACTATGGTATAGAATAGGAAAGTAAACAAAGAAACAAAGAAAACTTGAAGTGAAACTAGAGTTTGTCTTTCTTCTAGAGTCCAACTTCTTTTGTTGACAAGTTGAAGAAACTTCAGTTAGTCTTATGATCACAACTCATGACGATAACTTTTCCCAAGACTAAATTCAATCTTAAAAGCCAATAGATCTAACAATGATTTCAAAGTAATTCCTCCTTGTTAATAATAACTCAAAGGATTTATTGTATTACAGTTGTTATTTTTTTGATCATTATTATAATGAATGCACTGTCTACTTCCTTGACAATTAGCTAATACAAGTAAATCAAGCTTGCCAATAATAAATAATGATACACTTGTTTAAGAAACATAATTGAAAATTTTTATCATGACAATTAAGATTTTATTTACAGTTTCTTAACAACGAGAATTGTATTTAAAACAAGATTTTTTGTAAGAAAATATTGAATAAACATTGATAGTTTTAATCCATGTAGTAACAATTATTAGTAATTAAATTTAGAATATAATTTACAGTACAATTTTAATTCACAAGTTACCTTGGCGTCTGAGATCACTAAGATAAGCTCCATTGATATCTTTAAGAAGATTATTCGATGCTTCAACAAAACCTAATTCTTGCGAATATTTGTAAACCTGAACTAAATCACTTGATTGCTTAATTAGCTTATGTAGATTCCCTTTCATGGTAGATAGTTTATCTGATGAAAGAGTCTTGTTATTGGCTCGGAATTTCACATATAAACTATAAATTTCCTCTATATTAGTTGGAGTGAGTGGATAGCTCATATTAAAATCACGAAGATAGGTCCAATCACTGCGATTAACCACATTATGGAAAATAGCGACATTCCATTGACGATGGTTTTGATAAGCATCGGCGACGATCAAAGCTTCTATAAATTTACTGTGACGGCTTATGAAATCATTGACTGCAGTTTCATTTAAATTGATCAAAATAATACCAGATGGTAAGTAATGAATCTGAAGGGCAACCAGCTGAGCCATTTTGTCACAGTATTCTGATTTACTGAAAACACCAGCTTTTTTGTAGCTTTCTGAAGCATCCATCAATTCTTGTAATATTTTCTCTAATTCCTCTTTAAATGCCATACAATTTTGTTGACGACGAAGATTGATTGCACTCAATGATTTCATGGCTCCTGATTCGAGCATCTCAGCTATTTCACGATGCATACTAAAGTTGAGAGCAATTAACGGGTACATTTCTTTGTCTCCTTTCAGATAATCGAGAAGGGCAACTCTTAATTTATTACACTTTTGATTACCTCGACGAAGAAGTAATTCAAATTGATGATCTTCTCTAAGAATATCAAATATGTACAGCATCTCTGAGTAACGTCCGATTCCAGTTAATAATCTGATCATTGCATGATGATTTTTGGTAGGTGCTAAATGTTGAAAGACTAAAATACGAGCATTTCTTAAAACCAATGAGATTCCTTCGATGTCACAACAAAGCGTAAAACATTCATGAGCTTTTATGCAAACTTCAACAGCCATTAAAGGTTGAATATCTGTCCGCAAAATGTCAATAAATTTTCTTCCCAAAATAGCAGGATCATTGATTAAACGAATCAACGCAAGAAAGGTGGAAGGGTTAGAACTTTCAGTTGAATAGCTGTTGAATCCTTTCTTTTCGAGGGAAACAAGGTACTCTTCAATCGTTGGTATAATTGCATCCAAAACTAAGCTTGAAACTTGGTCATCCCCAATTTTGGCAAATGTTATCAATTCTCTGGCGTAAGGAAGAGCGTCCACATTTGAGGAAGATCTTTTGATTAATTCTGACAATATTGCCAATTCATCGCGTTCTCTAGAAAGATCTAAATATGAGCGTTCAATAACCTTCAAAAGAAAAAAATAAAAGTCATTAAATGATTTTCTGTTGACCATAGGGATGAGTTAACAAGAATTACTTACAAATGATATTTTGTAATAGAGGACTATCCGTTGGCAGGCATTTACGGCATGTTCAGAGAGAGATGAACATTTTTCCAGAATTTTGACGACATTACTTGGAACAGTTGGGGAAAAATCATTCAACATTTGCACAACTAAACAAAACGAAATGACAATTGAAAATCAATCAAAAGAGTTAATATAAACATGATTAAATAATGATAAATGTTGCAAAACTTTACCTTCATTCAATCCTGTGAAACCATAATCCTTAGCGCGAGTTTCGATGTAAGATTTAGGACAAACATGAGCAAAAAATCCATCAGCAAGTAGATTGCAAAACTGCGATTCAACAAAAAAGAATTAGAAAAATTAAAATTTGCCTTATTTTTAGCTATAAATAAAAAAAATAATTGACAGTTAAAATTCATAACAATTCAACTTACATTGATAAGCAATAAATCTCGACTTTTAAGGAAGAAAAGATGAGACAAACGATATGCCAGATCGATTTTACCAACGTTTAAAATTTTACCAATTATGACCTTTAATGTATTAGCCTTTTCTTCACTTAACCTTGCCTTTTCATTAATGATTGTCGGTAATTTAGTAGCTTGACCCTCAGGAACAATACTTTTGCATATATCTAAAATATTTTCCCAAATATCAGTCCAATCAATTAGCTCGTCTGGATTAATTGAATTCATTTCAAGAGAAATAACTGTACTCCATAAATCGATCTCATTAATCGTAGTTTCAACAGGATCACATTCTAATCTGGTTGCATAATAAAAATCTTTGGCGTGTATGAAAGCTTTAATAAGTTCTGATTCAACAGAGTTTCTGAACTCTGCAATGAAACTTCGTAGAATTGTCAGATCAATTTGTCGTTTTTCCAGATCAATAAAGCAGCTCTTCCAGAGACTAAAATTACTTGCATCTTTGAGTATTTTCTTTCTCCATTCGTTGATAAATATTTTCTCTTCATTAATCTCAGTAATAGCTGCGAACTGTTGAGCCTCGCTGTAAAATCCTTTGTCCTGTAAGCTGTACACAACTTCTAATATAGAATCGTTGTATTTTTTGGTTCCAGACTGCGTACTAAGAAGATCAGGTATGCTTAGTTTCAGATCAGTATCTTGTAAACATTGAGATAACCGATAGAGTTTACGGAAATCTGGAACAGAAGCTGTAAAAAGCAAAAATTAGTGTCTTTTAGTGTCCAATTTTTTCATCGATAGAATGAATTGACTTACTTTGTTCATCAAAACTACTTTGAAGTCGAGCAAAATCTAAATGACGCAATAAAATATTAAGCTCGAACTCGCAATCAACAGCTTTTAATCCATTCGACAAAATAATAATGCTCGTTTCTTCGATCCAAGCTTTACTGGACAAAAGTCCACGATCGTCTTGGTCTTTCTTATAATTCCATAAGCATTCTTGGAATGTTTTCAGTTTTTTAACACTATCATAATAATCCTTTTCTACCAGGAATTCAATAAAGTATTGTATCAGATCACTCAATGGATTATTGGGAGCAGCAAATATTCTGAGACCATTGCGGAAAACAAGGAAATTACTGGAAACTTGAAGAGCATTCTGAATCATTGCATTAAAGTCTTGCTGATTCCAAATTATAGAGTTGTAACTAGATGGTGATCGAGGTTTGAAATCAAGACTAAATGACGAATGAAGCCAGCAACAGAAACAGTCAAAGATAGAGTAAACACTTTCATTTTCAGAGTTGGAATAAAGAGAAGCTGCAATTAAGGCAGGAATTGGATTACTCAGAGAAAGACTGGCTAACAATAAAGATCTACCAGGTTCTGTCGGGTGATATCGTTGACATGTCAACACCAGATTGAATAAATCCTTGGGTGGAGAGTCGGGATCAAAATCAGGACTTTCTGGAAGATCTCCAATCATTGAGCTTGATGCAACTGAGGCCGTCTCCAAATCTGTTTCACTAATCACAGATGATCGATCATCATCCGGAGAAACAGCCAAAGGCATAGTTGGAGTTGATACCTGTCGTGGTGCTTGTCTCTGAGCTGTAGCTGTTTTAAGTAAACCAAGTCGACTGTACAAAGTATCTCTCGATTCGGTTACTCTTCGTCTCACAATTGATTGTGAACTTTTCTTCTCACTGGTAACCATCGAAGAGCTAAATGCTTTCTCAAGATGTTCTGGAATACAGCCACTGAAAGAGTTCAATTGTTTACAGATAACTTCTTTAGGATATTCATAAAACTGTGCGTAAACTGTAAACATCAACCAATCTCCATTATCAATACACTTGTTAAGAAAATTTAAGGGCAGGTCTAATTTGTATTGATTAGAAAAGCTTATAGCCAATTGATATTCGACACATTCATCAATTGTGCATTCTCCTTCAGGATATTTTCGAGAGAATGAAGTTAACAATAGTTCCATGATATGAGTGATGGCACCTTTTTCAGAATGATAATAAGCTTTTCGTAACAGATTTCCAAGTTCAATTGATTGATTTTTTGTCTCAAGACCCAAGTATTTGCCAGCATGAGACATAATCAAGTAACCAATAGCTAAATGAAGTCGTAGATTAGCTGAATTAAGCTTGAAAAGTTCAAGAAAAGTAACACAGGCTGAAGTTATCTCTAAACTGGTGCAGTTATAGAAAGCTAAAAGAGCAGCACGTTTGCATACAATCTCAATTTTCTTTGGTGAAGGTCTTTGAGTTTTATTTTGCATATAACGAGTAAAAGCTTCGAATGGGCGTCCCTTTTTTAAATGATAAATGAATGTTAGATTTGCCTTTAAACCAAGACCAACAAGCTTTGGATGAGAAAAATGAGGCAGTTCACCAAGAATTGTGGGATCGTTTGTGTTTCTAAAATGGTTTGTTGTTTGCCAACTGAATAAACGAGTAACGTCAAGAATAATAGTGTTGTTCAATAAAGTATAGATGGACGGAAATTCACTTCCTGGACTAGATATAGATGGAAGATTGAGCTCTTTTATAGATTTTATAGCTAAGAATAATAGAGGATAGTGTTTTTCCATGGCCGGTAACAGAGATTCTTTTTTTGCATACCAAAGTTCATCTTTTGAGGCACCAAGGAAAGATAAGGTTCCTTTTGGAGCAAATTGAGATGCTAAAATAGCAAGTTTACCAAGATGATTGTCCAAAAGAGATTGCAGGTTTACAGGAGTTTCTAAATCAAACAAATATCGAGCCACTTCTAAAATTGAATTCATAGTGAAGTAGTCTTTCAATGGATCTTCATTCCAGGTTTTGATTCCAGGCAAAAGGTTTTTGAGTTTTTTATCAATGGTACATTTTTCAAGATCTACCTGGAATTCATTCTGCACATAAGACCAGTAGAGAATTTGATGAAGGGAATTATCTGCACAATATTCGATAAACCTTTGATGAAATTTATCATAGGTAATCATAGTTGTTTTGTTAAATAAAGGATGATCTTTGAACCCTGTCAATGTTCCGGTTCTTTCAGAGTGACAAGAACGAAATAGTCGGCGAATTAATAGTTGCATATCAATCATTTCGTATGAACTGAATACACCAAAATTACCAAGAGCTGATAAAGTTGATTCTCTTAAATGATCTTGACCATCACTCACTAATTCGTCAATCATTTGCTGAGATATTTTGGAGGAAAAGACTGAGCCGTCTTGAAAGTCATTGGTTTTGTAGTTACCAAAATATCGATTAATCCACATCAAAAGTAAATTACAACGATTGGTTTTGACTAGATAAGACCAAATTTGGTGAGGTTCGACTACTTTTATGCACGAAGTCCTATTGACAACATTTTCTTGAAATATACCATAGGTCAAAAGATCTCCCTGGTTAATTGGTTTCACAGCTTTAATACAACTAAAACTCAACTTTAAATGGAATGGTTCATTAACTCGTTCTATTAACGTAAGTCTTTCATAAGGTAAATGGTCATCCTGATTAAGTTTTTGCACTAAAATAAATCTTAATTTTTCTAGAAAAGAGTGCTCTAAAACGAATTTGATCACAAACTTATGGTCGAATCCCAGGCCACTAATAATATTTTCGGCTTGATTTAGTTCATTAGCTTTGAGGTGATTAAGAATAGCTCGAAGTGCAGTTTCATTTATGGTAGACCAGGTTAAATCTTCTTTCATTTTGTGAATAATGTAATATTGACCAAGAGGTAGACATTGCTCTTTGATGCAGTTGATAAGAATATGTTGCTTACTCATTCCACTCCAATTCACGAAAATATTATCATGTTGTGGGTTCACATCACTGACGACCGTTTCTTTAGGATTAATAACTGCTCCAATAGTGTTTCTTATCAAATTGATCTGGTTGATTAGCGAATTGATGAAATAGACTTTTTCACGATCGAGAGAAGCATTGATAAAGAGATTTGTCTCTTCTTGCGATAAAATTTCCAATAACGAGTTGCTGGTCTGTAAAGATATACGAGCAAGCCGACGGCCAAACTCTTTTTCCTCGGGGGATTGGTTGCCATGTAAGTTGGTTTTCAAAATTATCAAAATTTTACTGAATACTTTCTCCCAGTCATCGAATAAAGAATGGCAAACTTCATCTTCAACACCATCTTTGCTAGAGCACAATTTTTCCCAATTCACTTTGAAGGCTATGTATAAAAAATACGGTAAGTATATCATGATTCATGAATTAATAAAATAATTGTTTGTTTACCTTCAACTTGAATCCTGAGAAATGATGTTACATTGAAGATCTGTTTATTTTTCAAACCAAGTTCAAGAACTGCAAACTCCATTGAAAATTTTGATGAATTCACTGGTCAAATTCAATCCAATTCAAGCAAGTTGAAAGAAGACTCCGATGAAGAGGTTTATCATTGGTTCAATATCAGTTGATTAACTAGGGTGGTCAACTATGAAAATAGAACGATTGCGTACAATCAATTGTCATGAGAGTAATAATCAACATTGGGTGGAGGTGGTTTGATTATCAAAGTTGATTAGAATATAGGAAGAAGAATTGCTATCATTTAATAAATTTACCGATCAGTGTACAAAACAGATGATTTTAAGCAATCAAGAAGTTGAGGGACTTCAGAGGATCGTGGGTTGACAGTGAATATAAAATATCCAACAGCAACTGGAGAATCAACCAGGAAATAGAAATGACAAAAATTGGTTAATTACTTAATTGTGATAACTAATAAAAAATATAAAGTTTGAAATTAGACAATCCATCAAAAAACAGATGTGATCAAGCAACGCTATCTAGCGGTATAATTTGGTAAATTCACTACAACAGAACATAAAATCTGATTAAACTGTTACTTAATCTTAAGCTTACACTTGTAAGAATTAAGATTAACTTCAGTCAGATTAATCAGTTCATAAAATTTCAGTTCATCTAATAATGTATTAATTATCATCGGATTAAAATCCATTTTTAGCTTAATCCTGGCTACAGTATCGCTACCTGGAGAAGATACATAGAACCAATTTTTTGAAAATATTGTTTTCTCTCTGGTCGATATTTACTGACTGTTTAGTGTTTTTAGTTTAAATTTGTATTTAGTTATTTATTTTTTATTATAATGTCTTCTTCAACTTCTGGTCGAGTTGGAGAAATATTTGCGTTTGCTGGTCAAGCCTTTACGAAATTAGGAGAGTTAACCATGCACCTTGATGCCAATAATGTTAGCATATCTGGGTAAGTGTTGTATTGATTTCAGGCTGTTTAATTTTAATTGTAAATTTTGCCTCGACTTTCTTATATCTTAACTTTTTCGTAACAACCAGTTTAATTATCTGTTTTCTTACTTTTTATGATTTCAATTTTTTTCATAATTTCACCCAAACCCTGTGATATTGTACAAACAACAAAAATGGCAGACAAAAATGGGATGAAGAGGATGTTGAAATGTTCCGATTGACTGTAAAGAAGTTTTCAGCAGAACTAACCAAACTCTCTGAGAATGTTTCCAAACCACAAAGATCAGCTAAAAAGCCAAGTTAATTTTATGGAAACAAATTCGGATGCAAATTTCATCTAAATGAACCGAGCAAATGGAAACAACAAATATGGAAGAGAAAAGAGTATTTTTCATTTATTTCTTATCTTTCTTTAAACATTTTGGTAAAACAAGTGATGACAAGACTATGAAATAAACATTTGGTTTTGACCATTGTCATTAATAAATTATTTTACAATATAAAGTGATGTTAATAGTATTAACAAGAGATGGAAGGTGTAAATGAGAATGATTTATTGTTTTGATGTTACTTGTTTTCCAGAGAATCACCGTTCTGATAGTCGGGCTTCAAGTGATGTACCCTCCATAGTCAAATCTATTTGATGGGTAACATGTCAAGATGGTGAAGATGATTATTAGTTGAATATTTTGAGTTGTTAAACTTTATGATCAGCCATAGAAAGGGTTGTCTGGTAATGCTTGAGCCCAAGTTCTTAAAGCTTCCATATTTTTTTCACCCAAGTTTGGATTGACTGTAAATGCGAAGATTAAAGCTAATCTTTCTCCCCAAAGTAATTGCATTACTTCATGAGGATTTTCCCATCCTGAAGTCCAAGCAGCAAATCTATTAATTTTTGGCTGAACAATGTAAGGTGTAAAAGGTGGAGAATCAGGTGCAGTCAAGAAGGAAGTGGTTCCACCGCCGAAATCGTAATCATATGTTGATAGCCAAAGGATGGATGTAACAATCAAAGATTGAACTCGGACCTTGTCGACATGACGGAACTGGGAGTAACGAGTCATTGGTCGGTATCGAGTGAACTGTGCAACCGTTGTGAAGTGTAAAGAGTTTCTTGGTATTCCAAAGGTTTCAGCAATAACAGTCTAAAAAAAGAATCATATGAATTATTAATAACCAAGCAAATTAAAATAAATATGTTCCACCTTAGATGAAACTATTCATGTTCATCATGCTTCTCACAAAAACAATGAAATTTCATGAACCGAAAAACTCATGCATCTTGCAACCAGAAATGAAGGATAATTCAATGTTTAACAATTTCTTAACAATTCAATAACTGCAACTCAATTATTTAATAAAACAAAGACCTTCATTCAAAACTAACGACCCATCTATAGCAATTAGCTAATCTCTATAACTGTCACTTTCCAATTGAATTTAAACAAATTGCGAATTAAACTCGTTTCATTTAAGTACGACTCTAAGAAATAGACAAAAATTGGAAATTACTAAAGCCATGATTGACCATTGTACGAGTTGAAAGTAAAGATTTCATCTGAACTTTCAAAGAATAATCTAATTAGAGTAATTAAGGAGGACAATAAAATTCATAATGACCAGTTGGAACTGAAAATTATAAACTGTTTGAGTAAAAATTTTATTGTCATTCACATTCATCAATCAAGTTCAATCAACCATTTCGATTGAGATTTCCCGATTCACAGAAGAAAGAACAAAAGAAAGACTTTTTATTTTACTCGACTTACTTTCGCTATCTTTCAAAATTCAGGTTAAAAGGTAATCCAATCATTGGTTAAATATTAAATAAAAGACAATTGACCATTGCAAATCATAACTTTATGTTTTCATTGGAGATAACAGATTCATCACCTTATTAAAGCTTCGGAATAAGGTTAATACTGAAAAGACAAGTTAAACATTTCCTTTAATAAAGAGCCTGTAAGTGTCATTAACACCAATCAAGATCTATTGAAATTATCCAGAATTACCTTGAAAATGGGATAAACTAAACATGCTATCATCAAATACACACTCAAACAAAATATGTACACACAATTATGATGGAAAATTTTACATATGATTAGAAAGTAATATTTACCTTTGCTCTTTCTGATGCTTTCTTGACCAATTTGAAATCCGTTTCATTGAAAACCTTTTCTTTGTAACCTCGCTTGAACACAGTATGAAGATTAACCCAATGAAGGTTGATTGATTCTCGGCTATAAGGATTAGTTTCCCCAATTTCATAAACCAATTTGGCTGCCATTTGTCTTAATCGAGCGGCTTCTTCCAATGATACCAATTCATCATAGATCAATGTACCACAACGTTGTGGCTCAGCTCCAGCTGCTCTTTCCCTTCGATAGCCTGGTCGATGACATGGGACATCATGAAGACTATAATTATAAAAAATCAAAGAAATATAAATCAATTAAATTATAAAACACTAACAAGTAAATCAAGACTCTTACTCGTAGCCAAAAGATACAATTTTAAAAAGTAAACATTGAAAAATTTCATAAGATAACAAAACAAAATTTTGCCGCAATATTTGAAATAAAAGCTTAATTGTAAAATTGTTCAAATCATTATGAGTTGAAATGTAAAAATTAAAACACAGCTGTACCAATTAAATTTAATTAGCTTTGTAAAAATGTTAAGGTGAATTACAAGTGCATTGAAGTTTACATTGAAGGTAAGCTTGAAAATTTTGATTCGTAAACATGATTTTTTGCTTTAGTTTTGCTGAAATCTATCCAGTTAACTATCGGTTCAATTAGTCTATTTGGACAGTAATTAAACAGTATTTCAGTTTTGCTTTTTTTGTAAAAAATCAGCTGAATATGATAAAAGTTCAGCTGAGGTCACCAAATTCAACAACAAAAACGAATGATTAACTGTATCGAACTGTAACAATCAACAAAAATCAAAAAATTTTAGTCCACTTTTGGCTAACAAAAAACAGCTTTTCACTCAAACCTTTGATTCCCATCTGATAACTAATTAACTGAGAAAAAAATTGGATGACATCAAGATTGCACAAAAAGGATTCATTGAATAGTTGAATCGTCCAATTGATTGAATTTTTCTGCTTTCACTTTTTTCAGTTCTTTTTTCATTCCACAATCAACTTTCCCTTTAATTATTCAAAAGAAATTGAATGAAAACAAAAAACACAAAAAATAGCTTTTATTGTAAGGTAGGAAAAGTATTGTCTTTTCAATTTACTAAATCTTATGTTAAACAACAATGTCGATGAAACGTTGTTTTACTCGCTTCCTCATTATCCAAATTGTAGTTAACTTTAATTACAATTGGGAAGACATCGTTCATTGGTACTAACAAAGGACAGTGATAGCTGTTTCGACTAATTTGATTGATTGGGTTTGTTGATGTTATTATAAATGGTTGATTGACTTAACCTGATCCTGTATTGATTTGTGCATATTTAAGGGCTGGAAATTATCATAACAATCAGTTTATTAATAGATGCTAATTAACTAGAGATAGTTGATTTTGGACAATTTTGTTTGTGATTATTAAACGTGTAAAGTGTTCTAGTTTAAAGGGTCATCAACTTAATGATTCTCATCTGATTATGATGAGACAAATTAAGTTGAATTTTGCCAATTGTCAAAATAGATTAACATAAAAATATGAAAAGATTTACAGTCTGATGGTTATAACAGATAGTTACAGTGATCGACAAAAAATGAGATAATCAACTTTCAATCAGACCATGAAATTTCTAATATGCCTTCGTATTTGATGACAATTTCAATTGAGACCAGGAAGAACCCAAAGTTTCGATCAGATTACTATCAAAAATCATCTTCTTCACAAACTGTATTGGAATACAGAATGTAATTTGACAGAAATTTGACTTAAAAATAATAGATTACTTCATTAAAATGAAGCCAATGGTTGGAGTAAATTAACCTGAATCCAGATGATTCAATTGTCATCTATGGGTAACAAATTGGCGCTGTTCAATGTAAATCAATTGAAACTGGTAAAGATTGTAAACACCATGCAAAAGTTGACTAATTACTTTTTCAAAACAATAGGCTAATGTTAAATTTGATTGTTAGACAACTGTTTAAATAGGCTAATAATAACTTGAAAATGAAGATGTAACTTTGGATGTAAAATAGCATTACAAGGATTAGACTTACAAGACATTGGGACCAACATGTTGATCAGTTGTGACCATCCATTTGAAATCCTCTTTATCTGAAGCAATTGGTTTGGCTTTGATTAGCTTTTCAATCGGGATGTAATAAAATATTAGACCAGATACGAAGAAGATGAATGAAAACAAAGTCATTAATGTACTGTTTGAAGGTTTCCATGATGAGGTTGATTTTGATTTGGTCTTTTTGTTATTCGATGGTCGCTGCTTACGGTCACCATTAAGTTGAACATCTTTCTTTGAAGAACCATTTTTATTGTTATTGTTGTTTACAGCTGAAGCTCGATGGACAACATTAATCTCCTTGTAGCCGGCATTGGGTGCCATTGGTTAAGAATTGGAATCCAAAATGGACTGAAAACAAGTGAAAATGATGTGAGAAAAGGGATAAATTAAGGTAAACAAGAGCAACGGTGGCAAAAACAAATGAGTTAAGTTGTTAACAACAATACTGTTGTTCACTGAATGTGAGATTAAACATGATGTTTAAATGAGCAATTAATTTGAAAAGGAGACTACAATAAGGGGTTGCTGATGATTAAAGGAGGAGATAATAAATTATTGTAAATTTTAAGTTAATACGGAGATAAAAGGAAGGAGGTTTTTGAGCTGGAGGTGGAGGTTTAGCTGGAAAGGTATTGATTCATATTGTAATGACACCTTAAAGTTTATACTTGGTTTAGTGGTAAACTTTCAAATTATTAGTGAATGGTTGGCTTCATTTCGAAGTAGTTCAACACATCAACTCAACTGATCACTGTTACTCTGTTGTTTGATACAGTATTGCATGAAACGTGTCAGCTCACACACATAACAACAATTTATAAATTGATCTGTAAGTTAACCAGTGATTGTGTCGCACCAGTTGATTGATTTTTACCTGATTATTCACTCTCACCATTCATATTTACCTGTCGATATTGACGTTTTCTTTACTTTTTTCTTCTCTTTTTTCAGACAAATTGGGGGAAAAA